CCAAATTACACGACTCCAACTAAATTCACACAACGCATCCCAAACCAACGCACTTCACACCAATTCCCTCCACACATAAAGACCCGCAATTCATCTGCATCGAACCAAACCGCACAAATCCGACCGATATTGATTGAATTTTCGACACTCAATTCACGCAACTCACTTCACACCAATCTCAGACATCCACTCGCACCAAACTTCAATACAATCCATCTGTGGCTTTGACTTTGACCTTTATTTTTAAAATTATTGAAAAATATTCCAAGATATTCCAATCATTTTGTATAAATCATTTATATGTATTAATTCGAAGAAAGGTTGGTGATTTGACGTTTCCAAAAATTTTGTTCGCGTGTTCGCAAGACGCAGCCAGGATGCACTTTATTTGCTCTGTCGGCGCGGATGCCCTCTTAGCCATTGGATGCGAATAACAAATAAATGTTAAAACAAGCGTCACGTGATAAAGACGTGTCGCGCAGCGCGGCCCCCGGCAGCAGCACCAACGCGCAAACTGCAAAATATCCACAATTGCGGCGCCCTGCAGCGGCGCCAACGCCCAAGCACCCAAGGGCGAACAACAACAACACCCTGTAGAACCTGAACCAAAGCGCGCCAACAGCATCCAGAGCGCATGCGACATGCGGTTTTTCTTGTATTTGAAATATTAATCCCAAGAATTTATTTTACATAATCTAGCGAAATACGCCCCCCCGATAGCAAAAAGCCAATCGAGGAACGTGTGACAATCCTCATGCCGGACATGAAAATGGTAGGTAAGAACGGTTTTACCTCTGGATTTATGTCCTCCGGATTTGGGACCGGAATTATTGGATTAAAAAGAAATTGAACTAAAATCTTTAAAATCAAAATTATTTTTATCAAATCGCAATTACGATTCTTCATAGACGTAAAAATATGGGGCATTGATTGCGCAGATCTAAACTAGCAATGGTATTTTTTACGAAGAAGATTTAAAATTGAATATTATTTATAAAATAAATAATATAAAAGGAAAAAATGAAATAAATAAAAATAATTATCAATTCAATTAAATAAAATTAAATATATATATTAATAAAATAGTAAAATATAAATAATATATATAATACAATTACAAAAAACATAATTAAAAGAATAAAGAATAAATAAAAATATTTATAGTTTTTAAGATTTTTTTCTTATATAATTGTTTAACGTAAATAATTTTATAATATTAATATATATTTAAATTCTATAAATACTTTATAAAATTGAAATATTAATATCTATATGAATCTAAAATATTTATCGTTTTTAAATAATATAAGAAATATATATTTCCTGTCCAACCTTCCCTTGCATTTCTGTCTCTCCCGCGGACTCTTTCACTCAAGCGGACATCTTTTGTCGAGCATGCCCATCGGCATGTCCTGCACCAACGGTCTTCTTAACCGAAGAGGAAATTGTCTGTTGCCGCGCGCCAAGCTCAAGCTTTCACCTCTTCCCACTTCACCACACCCTCGACAGAGAAACAAACCCTAAAGCTGTAGCCGGAAAACACATTCCTGCAATCGCCCAAAAGAGTCTGAAGTAACTTTCAACCGTGAGGGAACAGTCGCTTGTGTGGAAAGAAGTTTCTGCATGTACCAAACAAAAGGAAGCGCCGAACACCATTGCTTCCAAACATTCTGCACGCAGGGGCCCAAAGCTTCTGCTGTACGGAGAATTACCACTTCTCCTTGCCAGAATTTTTTCGACTGAAGAAAACAACATGCATGCATAGTTCACACCCGAAGTTGGGGCACCGTTCAGCTGCTTCCAACTCCAGAGAGACTTGCTGAGCCTTGAGGCCAGTTGGTAAGGGCCAGCATTGCATTGCTGGCCAAAGCCGTGCCCGATGGGATGAATTCGATAGTTTCTGTTTTTTCCCAACTGCCTCCTTTCTTCTTGGCCTGCTGCACCGCCAGGATTCGTTGTGCTAACACATCCATTGCACGGGCGATCTCTTTCCTATTGATGCAGTCCATGGCCTCCGCAATCGTCAATACCTCGCGAATATCTCGAATTTCCGAAAGGCCGGAATGCTGGGCCGCCCACCGGCTGACATTGGTTTCCCGCAGCTGGGAGCTGCGAGTCACTCTTCCTTTTGAAAGCCGTGCATAGATCGAGGCCAGAAAATGGGCGGACAACGCCCCCGGATGCTTCGTCGCATAAGCCAGCAGCTCGCCTTTCCGCTTGAACTTCTGGGCGTCCACTGCGTGAACTTCCTCGTACTCAACCCGCCTTCCTCTTCCTTTGAGGTCCCATCGCAGAGGTCCCGACTGACTCGATCCTGTTCCACTGCTGCTGGACCTGCTTGACCGGGACCTTAAATTCGAGCTTGTCCGACTGCTGGAACTGCGACGCTTTTTCTTCTTCTTCTTCTTGCTTTTCTTGTCCTTCTTCTTAGTTCTTCTTGTGCTTGGATTTTCGGTCCTTCTTGGATTTGCCACTCTATCGTGACATCTCCTTCAACTCCTGGATGACGTTGGATAGGGCCTGCATGTTGAAGCCATCTGCCTACTAAGCCGGAGCATCTCCTCCGACCGCAGGCCCGAGCGCCCCTGCACCCCCTGGCGCTGGCTGAACCAAAGCCCCGCCTGGCGCCACTGGCCCCAGCTGCAGCTCTTGAACGTCTCCTCCACTGCCCGGCACTGTCATCGCCATGTTCCTGAGGCCTTGGCGGCTCACATGAAGCGCCAAGAGCTGCGCCTCCTGCTTGAGAGATAACACCTCTGCCGGAGTTGGACTCCACTTCTGGTCCAAGCTCTCTGGTGCACAAATCCAATTGATGGATCCCCCCGGAACCCCGGCCGGAGCGGTTCGTGCATTCCCAGCCCCGGTAGGAAAACGAATTGCTGCTGACACCACTTGAACTAAGGTCCAAATCCATGATGTCCCGTCAGTGTTTGTCGTCCTAGCCAATAGTTCAGTCGAGCCCGGCACTACTCCAGCTGACCAAACTTCGTCCCACTCTCCAGCTCGTTCCAGAAGCAAAAACCCCTCCACTGCTGCCGCGGCCATTTGATAGCAGGTGAACTCCACGTGGTCTCTTCCAACAAAGGGAGAGCCAGCACTGGATTCAATACAAATCAGATCAGAACCCTCCTTCAAAGAAAGGATGTAGACAGCCACCCGAAACAGAAATTTCACTACTGTCAACAACTCACAACGCAGCTCGTAAAACAGCAAGAAACAACCGATGTAAAAAGCAAGCTGTCCAACCGCTTCGACCTGATCCTCTATGTAATCCAGAACCTGTAAAGCCCAACTCGTGGCCAATTTTCCCACGGTATGGGAACCCCAAACAGCTATGGATATCTTGAGGTACCCGATGTAGGATGCACCTGATGCTATGGCAATTGGGGCTATCACCTTCAGGCTCATTTGGGCTTGAGCCAACTCAAATTCGTCATGAACCTCCATGCACGATCCAGGTGGAAAGGAAAAGGTGTTAAAGGGCACTACAAAATCCAAATTATTCGATTAATGAAATATATATAATATATTAATATTATATATTAATTATCGATATATCAACAAAATATGTATGGATTTACACCCCCCAATTTTAAATGGTAACGATATTATTTTATCGAAAGCGTTTTTGAAGCCATCAAAAAAAATTCGTTATTAAGCGGCAATATTACGGCAACATTAAATAAATAGATTTTTAATTTTTCCTTCCCCATAGCAGCGATCTTTTCTTGTTTTGTGACCTTTAGCCGTTGGATTTGCTTAGAAAATATTACCGCCCCCAATTTTAATCCTTTTGGTTTGATCTTCTTTAAAACCCCATAATTTTCTACCTATTTAATTGCAAATATATAAATTAATAATTTGTATATAGGTTCTATTCCACCTATCCCATATGCATCTTAAAATCAAGAAAATAATAATACAATACAAAAAAATATATTAACCTTAAAATATAAAACCATAATCTATTTATTCAAAACATGTTATATACCAATAAATTTCAATATATCAATATATATATTATAATTCATTAATCTAAATTCAAAATTTATTATATAATATTGTTAAAAATCAATTAATTATTTAATATAAAAAAATATATATAATTTGAGCAGGGAAATACGAAAGGTAGAGATGGATCGAATAGCTATCGGGACCGTTTCTGGTAAGGGATTGTCTCCGGTGTTTCGGGAACGTGCCCCTTAGTCAATCATAGATGAAACCAACAAAACCAGAGAACACAAGAAGGCATAAGAAGGCTCAAGAAGAACACCGTTGCGGTCAGATTGCGCCACACGGCTCTGCAGAGAGGTCACGTTGCGTCGACGCTCGTTTATGTCAAGGGATGAAAACAGGCGCGCGTAAACGCTCGCATATATATACCAGTTATAATCCCACAATTGCACGCATTGTGTCAGGACCAAATCCCTTATAAAAATAATGCTGGAGGGGAGCGATACGGTAAAATTTCGCCACGTTAAGGTATAAGGCTGCGTCGAATAATATTCCGCGACGCGAAAGATTTCTCCACAGGGCTTTGCAAAGAGGTTATGGTGCATCGATATTCGTTAGTATCGAGCAACATGATCTATTAATGCAATACGCGTTGGGTCAAACTGCCGGGTGCGCGCACGGCATCGAAATTGCATTGCGCGACCTCGTTGCTCGGCTTCGTATTATATTACGCAACCTCAAAACCAACGTCGTACTACTATAACCGTAAAACGCATAATTTCACCTTAAGTCCGGATTATAATAATGCTAGCGACGAGAGGAGGAGACGGAAAGAGGAATGGACGAGGGGGGGGGTTAATATTAATCTACCAATTTTTAGTTCCGAGCAAGCTCTCAAACCAGTTCCTTTGCTTCGGAAAACAAATTTAAACTAATCCTTATCAGGCTACCTTTCGTAATATCGCATAAACATACAAAAATTTAATCAACATTCATCGAATTCACTTCCCATAAACCCAAATTACACGACTCCAACTAAAACTCATACAACACATCCCAAACCAACGCACTTCACACCAACTCCCTCCACGCATAAAGACCCCCGCGCAATTCAACTGCATCGAACCAAGCCGCACAAATCCGACCGATATTAATTGAATTTTCGACACTCAATTCACGCAATTCATTTCACACCAATCTCAGACATCCACTCGCACCAAACTTCAATACAATCCATCTGTGGCTTTGACTTTGACCTTTATTCTTTAAATTATTGAAAAATATTCTAAGATATTCCAATCATTTGGTATAAATCATTTATATGTATTAATTCGAAGAAAGGTTGGTGATTTGACGTTTCCAAAAGTTTTGTTCGCGTGTTCGCAAGACGCGGCCAAGATGCACTCTACTTGCTCTGTCGGCGCGGATGCCCTGTGCTCCAACTCCCAAGCAGCGGCACCCTGCACCCAAGCGCGCAATCGCACACATGCGGCTCTTTTCTTGAAGTAAGAACCCCAAAAGCTTACGCTATCTAGAGAATTACGCCAGCATAGACCCAGAGAGCGAAATGATTTCTGTGGTGTCGCAGCAGCGGCACCCTCTACAGCACAGAGCCATTCCGGCAGCGGCCCCACGACAGTCTCAAAAGCGCACACAGCGCACGTGGCCACGCATCTGGCAGTGGCAACCTGCAGCGGCACCAGCACCACAGCTCGAAAGCGCACACGGCCCAACATTAAATATCTGGCAATCGCACCCTGCAACAGCTCTGGCAGCGGCACCCTCCAGCGGCTGCGGCACGAAAGCTCCAACGCGCACACGTACCCTGCAGCGGCACCAGCGCCCAAGCTCCAAAGCGCACATCCTACAGCGGCACCAGCACCCAGGCTCCAAAGCGCACATCCTACAGCGGCCACACGTCTGGCAGCAATACCCTGGAGCGAAAGCAACACAACGGGAAAGGTCCAAGCTTCGAGAGAAACGATCACGTGTTTAATCTTCGGTCGGCTCGCAGCGCACACGGGTTTCCTTTGTTTGTGTTGTCGTGGTCCATCCTGTGCCCCCGTTCGTATATATTTTCTGTTTATATAAGCCGTTTGCATCCACCGACATTTTGCGCCAGCATAGACTCCAAATAGCACTCAAATCATTGGATGTAAGGTGTCGCGGCTTCCTCACTTGCCTTGCATCGCGCGGACCCAAAGAAATACGTACACGATACCAACAACAAACGCACACAGCAGCGGCACCCAACTCCCAAGCGCGCACAGCAGCGGCACCCTGCAGCGGCATCGGCACTCTCCAGCCGGGGGGGGTCTTGTTTATTACAGTACATTACAACCATGTTTTTAAAAACATACAAACATATTCTTTTATTATCTTATAGTATTTATATAATATGTTTCCTTTGGATTTCTAGGATATCATTATTTTCAATATCCCTTTTGGATTGCCGAATTGCAAGAAGCAACATAGGCATAGGCCCAGGAACCATCAGCCAAATCGTACAGATGCCTGAGGTTCCCCATGCCGAGCCAAATCATGCAAACAGCTCAAAAGTCGGTATTATTCATTTTGCTTACTCCACTGTTAGCTGCAATTCGCACCAGAAATACTTGAGGACAGCACCGCGAGCGGACGTGGCGGGGCAGGAGCAGCAGAAATCGAGCTGTGGCAACCTCTAGAGAGTGAGGAGCCCAGCAAGGCTGGTCGCCCCAGCGCTCCTGGGCTCGGTGGAGGTGCTGATGGGCCTGGACGTGAAAGGGCTCCTGTACCAGGAGGGGGAGGTGCGGTTCCTGGTCGAGACCATCCGGCTGGAGAAGCTGGAGGTGGTCCAGGTGCTGAAGTGGAGGAAAAGGAGGTCATTGATGTTCCTGGCCGTGGAGGAGATGGAGATAATAGTGAGCCAGGCCTACTTGGACCTGGCGGCGCTGTTGGAGGCAAAGGGTTTGATGGAGCGCACGAAGACGAAAAGGACGTTCCAGGGCGGGCTGTTGAGATAGAGGTGCTTGGCCTGCTTGAGATTGGTGGTCCTGGTGGCCCTGGTGCTCCTGGGCGGCTCGGAGCAGGGGGTGGCGGTGAGGAGTGTGTTGAAAGGGAAGTGTAGGGGCCTGGGGCGCTTGGGGCCAAAGGCTGTGGAGGGCCTGGAGGGGGGCCAAAAGGTGCAGAAGGAGGCACGGGAGGAGAGGCACCTGGAAGTCCAGGCGCCCGTGGTGCAGCCGGTGCCAGTGGAGCTGCTGGTGCAGGTGGAAGGCTTGGCCTGCCGAGTGTTGAAAGGCCAGGCCCTGGTGGTGCAGGCAAATTTCCAGGAGCTGCTGGTGGCATGGGTCTCGGAGGGCCTGGAGCGGGGGGCATAGGTGCTGCTGGCAAACCAGGTCTACCTAGCACTGTGGGCCCTGTGGGAGCTGGAGGAGCTGGTGTGAGGCCTACGGTGGGCGATGGTGCAGGGGGACCTGGTGCATTTCTAATTGGTGGAGCTGGAAGTGGCGTTGAATGAACTGGAGCCGCAGGCGGCAAGGGTGCAGCCGGCAAGCTTGGTGTTGTGGCAGGTGCCTGAGGCAGTGGCAATGGTGCTGGTGCTGCAGGGATGGCTGGAGTTGTGGATATGCTAGGGGCTGGTGGCAAGAGCAAGGGCACCGCAGGAGCTGCGGGAAGCATCGGCGGTGCACCTGCAAAAGGCATGCTAGGTGGTATTGGCGCACCTTGGAAAAAGAACCAGATCCGACTCCATACCGGCATGATACATAGTATTTTCTGTAGTGAGGTGCAAGCCTGTTGGCACAGGTGCAGGCCTCAAATAATTGCATTCACTTTCACTCTTTACTTTGGTGAAGGAAGGCTATTACAATGTAACACAACAAACTTGAAGACTAAATTAAATGACTAAACTACACTAAATGCCATGGAGTGCCACGGAACATGTCGTTTTCATTCGTTTTCAAGATGCGGGCTCATGCAGGCTGATTAGCTCGCGGTAGTTCCTCAACGGCTTCATGTGCGATGAATGCCTACCGTTGACTAGATTGACAGGGCAGGGCAGGGCTGCATGATCTATGACGAAAGGCCCTCGCTGAGATTCCAGCAAAAGGCCAGGACCAGCATAAAACCGCTGAAAAATTGCATCTTGATCCACGACTGGGATACTTGCCTGCGCCTTGAGTTGAACACGAAAGCGTTTGGCCATTGGCACAGTTTGGAACAAATCATGCCTTCTACATATGTGTGAGCGTCGGTGCATCCTACCCTCTATGGAATGGATGGCACGTCACTGCCTTTCCATGCCACTATTATATATACAAATATATATATATATATAAATAAGTTTCACCCATGGATTCAATTTGAAAGTCACACTTGGTGGCTGACCCAGTCAAGAAACCTCATGAACCCGGGACGATCCAATGTCCCACCTCAGCAATTGGCAGGGCGTGTTACATTTTGTGTTTTCGCCGCGTTCACCGGAAACTTGAGTCCAGCCATTCAGGACAAATATATTGTAACTCTCCTCATTTTGACCCCAACCCCAACGAGTCTTGGCCCAAACAACGGCTACAAGACCAATATTGCCTTTGCTGAGAAGCACAGGGACATAACTGCAATGCCTACACATTTACAGTAGGAGTTGATGCGGAGTGCATATTACATTTCTATTCTGTAGTCAAAGGTTGTGGGACGCTACTAGGAGCAAAGGGCATTGCTACTAGTAACAAGGACGCTACTAGGGGCTCCTGGCCTTACTACTAGGAGCAAGAAGCTATATACTAGGAACAAAGGGCATCCTCGAGTGGATCTTTGGCCTGGCCGTCTGGAGATGGGCGTCCCGACCACCAGTCTGGTCAAAAAGAACCAAGCCGGATGATAAGGTGTACCTCTCCGATCTGCACACTGCCAACGGTGGGTCACTCACCGGTGTAAAATTTTTCGCTGACCCTCCCTGCTGGGCACCCTTTCACCTGCAACATCCGTTTCAGCAAATCAATCTGCTCCTGGGTCAGGTATTTCACTGTCCCCAACGTAAAGCCCAAGCCAAAAACAAGAATTACCAAAAACACTGCGTACAGTATTTCGTTCTGTAGGAGTCTCGTGGCTGTCCTTGACAACGTCTGGTGGTGCAAGGGTCGGGCTTGGCCTGGTTAGGCTGTACTTTCGAGTGCAAGAAGGCAACCGCTTGGCTTCCACGACTCAGACAGTGGCACTGGTGGGTAGGCGGGCCTTAGTTGATTTGAGCACATCCAGACATATTGGCATTCACCAATCAGCAGTTGGCATAGAAAGCAACTGCATGCATGAGCACGGATGGTAGCCAAATAGATACCACAATTCACCAGAATCATCCAGAATCTCAATCCTGAGGCGTGAACGCACCCAATCCAACTCCAGGTGCCTGGCCAAGATTGGCCCCGTGATAAGCAACAGCTGACCAAGGATGCTCGAAAATGGTAAAGCTTGGCATGCAATTATGCAGCTCTGGTGCAGCCTGCGCAGCTGCAAGTGCCTTTGCCTTAAATGACTCAGTTAAAACACGTTCCAACACACCACATGTCCGGTGCTGGCCATCCAGCAAATATGTTTGCGGTTTGTGCTTTTTAGTACCTTCCAATCAGCCCGCACCAAATCTTAATGTAACCCGCAGATTCACGGGTACGCAGGCTGTACAGCCAATGAACACGGGCCACTCTGGATGGCACTTGAATTGGGTGAGACGGTGCAGGTTCACTGATCATGTGACCCATGCCTGATGCCTTTGTGCCTGTAGGTTCAGTAGGATTTCAGACCAAACTTGACATGTCTTGGGGTCTTTATCCTTGTTCAACACGAACCGTAGCTGTCTCCGGCACTAAGATGACACAAGCTGCCCTTCGCCGATCGTCATGAGTTGTTGCATATCCTTCAAATCGCCTGACGGGCAGCCACACAAACTCTCTACGAAATATAAAATGGTTTGTACAACAGTAGTAGTGTTTTGAATTCTTTTGCCGTCCAACTTTGGGACAATACTTGTCGCACACCAGCAACTGCTTTGGAGACGTAAGGGGACAAAGGCTGAGTTGCCTGAATTGGCTCAATGAGAGCAAAGGTGGTCATTGCATGTAGGGGTATGCATACTGTAATACGCATTGATGAAGTGAACAACATTGCGTTTGATGTGAACATGTTGTTGCCAGTCTGGGGCAAACACGTTCAATGGCATTCCGAAGCTCCAGCGCCTGGAATGGAGAATGGATCGGAATTGACTGAGCGCGACTCCTCTCTCTACCTTTTGGGCCCTATCCAAATCAATAACAATAAATCAAAGAGATTGAGGCCTGTTGAATTGAAGTGACATCTGTTGAAACTCTGTTGAAACTATTCAATGCAACAATGTGCAACATCGCTCAGAGATGCCCTCCACTCGAGCTTCTGTAGTGAGAAAATGTGAGAAAAGACATATTCGACTCTAATTTTGCTGGGCAATGCCTCCTTGTTCAGGGCTGTTCTTGCTTTGCTGGGTCTTTGGTCAATACCCTCCTCGTCAATCTGAGCAATGCGCGCCTCAAACAACTCTCTGTGTGATTGTGCTTTTCCAAGACTGTTCTTGTCAGCTCTTTCAGAAATTGTGGGTGGCTGAGCTGTGTTCTTGCTTGCGCTGCACTCCGACGACAAGATCTTCAAACATCTCTCGCTGCTCTGCATTGAAACCATTCCTTGCCCACAAATGGTGCAAATTGATTATATAAATTCACATTATATTATAATGTAATGCTTGACCACATTGTCTTGTAATGCTTGAACCATATCAAACGTGCAGTGATTCGGTCAAGGTACTCGTCAAACCGCTTCCTGTCTTCTCTTCTTCGGCCTCCCTTCCAGTGATGAACAGCATCAAAATCAAACCCACTTGCGTGGTGTGTCTGGTAAGCTTCGGCTGTCAGGAAGATTTTGAGTACGGGACGTTTGTTATGACAATTCAACATACTTATACCGACTTATACCGACACTTGCTTCTTGCGGTGATAGTGGTGGCTATCATTCTCCGCTATGACTATGACGTTGCATACTTTTTGCAGGCAAAGTGCGGAGTAACGGCAAGGTAGGATTAATCAACGGCCCCCCCCTTCAAGGTCAACAAGGTCAGAGATTGGAGGTATTGGAGGACCACATCCCCCTAATAAAGGTGATGACCTGATGATGGATGAGATGAGGGACCTGGACCTGATGATGGATGATGGTTTGGTTGGGAAGATTTGGACAAGGAAGAGGATTGCAGGATGAAAGCATTAGAAGACAAGAATGAGGCCAGAGGGTGGGATGATTAATAGGGGGAGGGGGCCCCACTATTGCGGGGGGGTTAGGGCCTGTGTGAGGGGTACCCTTTGTGAGCTTGGACAAGTTAAGATTTTTATAGAGTGTTAAAAGGGTAACATGCGGAAAATGAACGAATTTTGCTAGATTTTTTTGGGGATGGTTGCTGGTATGAGCCCTTAGGAGAAGCCATTAAAAGGATTGGTGAGAACATGAAGACAATGAGTAGTTCGTGAAGAAGGTAAAAAATAGGAATATTAGTTAAACAAGAAGGTAAAGAAGCATTTGCAAAAGAACATGAAGAAAGTAAACAAAAATAAGTATACACATAATACGTTAACTATTATTTTTCTGGGGAACCTGGGATTGATTAATATGGGGCGGTGTCTGCACAGGAAAAAAACATATTATATACGGGGATCAAGGTGGAAATCTAGGTTTTAAATTAGTTTAGTATTGGGGGGGTCGAGCTGGGATTGATTAATAGGGGGCGGTTACTTAATCCTAGGTGCGCGTTATCTGATCAAACAATTGGTGGCAAGCGCCTGAACGGGGGGGCTTACTGAAATCATAAATGACAAAGGAAACTCCCAATGCAACATGCAATTCCAGAGTCCTTACCTTTACTTGAGAGGAGGGAGACACGAAAGGTAGGACAGCGGGAAGAGAAGAGAACGCGAGAGGCAGGAACAAAAATGCAATGTTCGACATGGTGATTTATCCCCTCGGAGGCGACCTTTCGTAAATATATGTTCATATGCACTTTAAATGTTCAAACATGTGCTCTCGAAATGTTCAAAAAGATTCTTAGGAAAACAAACTTGCCCCATGGCTCAGATCATCGGTGAGCATTGAATCGGAACATGATAGGATTTGAACTATCCTGAAACCATAAGAGGCTCACGAAGACGCTCCCCAGGAGAGAATTGACGTGCTTCACAAAACAAACTCTAGGTATGTATCCCCGCGGGGAACACCTTTCGTGATTAGAATTTCATATTCACTCTTTCTGAATGTTCAAGAGGGTTTCAACTATCCTGAAATCATGAGAGGCTCACGAAGACGTTCTCCAGGAGAGAATTGATTTTAGAGGGGGGGAGGGGGGGGGGGGGGGGGTCTGAATTGAGCGATCAATTATGATCAATTATTAGACCCGGACGTCCCAACACTTGCTTCGCAAGACAAACTCAAGGTATCCCCTAAAGGGCTACCTTTCGTGACGATGTGAACAAAGCATTGACATACGTGATCGTGGCGCAAACACCCCCAGCTCCATCCTCTCTCTTTCTCTAGCTTTGTTTGCAAATCAGCCGCGCTTACCCCTGAACTTTCGTTTTTGCATGTTTTTGCGACAATGGGGAACAAGTTGCACACACATTGAGTAGAAGAAAACAAGGGTGAATACGCCAACTTCCGTAGTCCATAGCAAGCACATGAGAGCACTGTGAGCAAACACATGGGAACACACAAATGAGAGCACGGGCATGAGTGCGCACACATATGTGAGCACACACATGAGAGCATGCATACGTGCGCATTCCGATGGGCACTTGTGAGAGCATAGGCAAAAGAGCGGACACATGACAGCACACCTGTGAGAGCGCAGCTGTGAAAGCACATATCTGAGCAAGCACGTGAGACCACACAAATGAGAGCACAGGTGTGCTCACTCATGTGCGAGGACCAGCTCGTCGTTGCACTCAGAACGTTAAGCCATGAACGGAGCAGGGAGCAACCAAACATTTTGCACAAACGCATTTGAGTCAGAATGTGATCGTTGCTCTGTATGGGGGTGCTTCTACCATACTCTGGAGACTCTGGGGTCTTTCTGCCATGGACAAAGCTGGGGTCAAGTTTTCGGCTATCATGGAATGTCTTGATGTTCGGCAATGCTGGTACCTTCCTTCACGGAAATGCAACCTTATAACCTTACCTTCTGATTAGTTCGCGCAAGTTCCACTCCCCCTCCCCCCATGGAATCTATAGCTGCGACGCTCCAAAGCCCTAGTAGCTACTCATTGTCCAAACAGGAACTAGGCTAGGCGGCTAGGCCAGCTAAGCTTCAGTGACTCCAGCCTCTTCCTCTCCACTTGGAAGCTCGCCAGGCTCAACGTAGCCCATGCTCCCTTTAGGCAGCATCTTGGCACCACAATAGCGGAACCGTTCCTCACTTTACAGGGTGCGGCGGCCGTCGGTAAAATGCGCTGTTTAAAGACACGTTCTCGCTCGTATCGGAAGCCACAATACTCTGAAACAACATGACTTGAGGCCGAGGGTTGGTGACGAAAGCTAGCAGGGCAGGGGTGAAGCGGGGGATATCCGACCGAGAAAGGGGTCCAAATCCTGCCGCCACAGGAGCAGTCAGCCCCCTGCCAGCCGCCAGCGGAAATACACATGTCCCAGAGACGTCCCAGGGAGGAGTTGAACCCACGGGGGGGGGGGGGGGGGGGGGGCCCCTACACATGAAGTTTTCACGCGATGCGGCGCTCTCGAGGATTCCAGCCCCTCACTTGCTAAAGCAAGAACAACTCCAGCTAGCTGGTGCTGGCTTTCGTGAAAAGCGATGTCAACAGGCTTTTGATGGATGAAAGCTTTTCTTCACTCTCTGATTCTGTGCATGGAGTTCTTTATCGCAAGACTAACTGCGGCCTCTGTCTCCTAGCCACCAGTGCTATGGTTGAGACTTCCTTAGGCAGGCTAGCTGCCAAACGTGCATAATTTTCTCTTAGGTGTTTGTATGGTGCTTTTTTTGGGTGGAATTCGAGGACTTGTTTCTGTATGATTCGAGCCTAGTTTTTTCTGTAGGATTCAACCTAAGAAGTAGCCTGCAACTAAAGCAAAGAACACTCTAATTTTCAAGGAAGTTTAAACTTAAACAAATGACCCTCAACGTTCGAGGTCAAAAAGCTTAAAAAAATGAAACAACAATTACATAACAACTACATCATGTCAGCAAGTCACAATGCTAGGGAGAGGTGTCTCTTGCTACCCCATACTCGTCATCTCACTCCTGTCCTGAAGGCCTTGCTTCTCGAGGTCCTGGTTTCTACCCTTTGGCAGGTCAGGGACTGTACGTAGCCGCCGGGCTTGCTCTGCCTAGAAGCATTGAAACGCATACTTGTCTGTGGGTTGCACGTGGCTCACACAAAAATAGACAGGACGCGCTTGCTGCTAATAACAAGCTCACCAAACACAAACCGATATCATGTGTGCACGCACACTCGTGTCCACATGTTGCACTTCTCCTGCAATATTGAATTATTATCATTTTGAGAAGTCAGGCCTCGAGCTCTGCAAGGATCTCCTTCGCAGGCCTCCTGGTAAAGCAAACCTACTTTTCCGATCTCCAACAGTGGTGAAACAGTGACTTGTTGCAGAAAGGACCTCTACCAACGACTTGACAGCTTAATTGCCAGCTTTTCACCGTGCTCAGCAAAAACTGTTTAGGGAAGGTCAGGCTTGGACTAGCTTCAAAAGATTACTTACATAGAAGTAAAAGCAAGGCATGCTGGGCCTAACCTAGTGCCAGTGCCCACTACTCTCATCAATCTTTCATTCTGATGGCTCCTGCAAGGTATGGGCGGTGCAGGCCATTGACTAGGATCATCCATATCGCGCCTGGGAAACTGTTCGATGATGATGAAAAGGCTTCTTATTACCCTGTGATACCTCGTGGGTGCCTAGTAGGTAGGGATGGGCTGTGGGCAGTACTTGCGACTTGGGCCAGCGGCCAAAGCGAAGTAATACAGTTAACAAATGTCGGGTCAAGCAGTGGTGCGCCTGGGAATTGCTGACCGTGGCACCCGCACAAACGCCTTGCGTTTGGCCAGCACCAATTCTGTCACAAACAAAACTTTGCTGATTGGATTGGGCCTGTGACTAGGTGCCTAATCTTCGAAAGTCACCATTTGCCAAGAATTGCATGTCACGGCCATTGTGCCAACAAAAGGCACCTTGGGAGCAGGTTTTGCTCGCGGAGCTGGCTCCCAGCCTGCCACTTGTCAAACACTACGGGAAAGTAGACAGACAGTAGACAATATCTACATTTGATAAAACATTCCTGAGTGTTCTGCGCTTGGATGGAGAAGGAAGCTGCGGATATGTCACTTTCGAGGCTGCTTCTTTCGGGCCCACCTCGGGTCTCCGGTGCCTAGCTTGGCTGAGAGCCAAGTGTGGTGCATTTCTTCATTACAGAACCCGTCGACTCTGGGCTCAAGTGACAAGTGGGGGGTGGAACAGTCTTTTGGATTTGAGGCACGAGTTTGAGCAAGGTCTACAGTAACATCCTTCAACCAAGTCTCACCCTTGTAAAGCTTGCGGAGCATTCGGCCAGCCTGGTGGCCAAGTGCAGACCAAACATGCAAACACCATTGTGAACCAGTGAGCCACAAAGATCCCGTCACTTACGCCTCAGTTTCGCAGCCAAATTGCTTCCACACCTGGCACTTCAAACATCTTCAAACACAAGTCAGGCTTGTTCAAGCTTGCTTTGAATAAACTTATATAGATTTATCGAATCTTTTGAAGGATTGCAATTGTATTGCACTGACTGGGGGCTTCTTTAGAAGCTTGTCTTTTGGACAATTACAGCCAGGCCTCTTTGTTCTTGACAGGTACTGAGTAATCCGCGACACTGGACGGCCTGTGGCTTTGGCAGCAGCGTGACTTTGTTTGCAAAATCCAAGCTTGGACGAAATCCAAAATCGGGGCGTAAATAAATTGCATGTGGTTGCGTGGACCTTCTGCTGGCTTCTTTGTGCAATATAGAACAATCATTTCATTCATTGACTGTGGATTCCATCCAGCATACCCCTTCTCAAGGCAGGCCTATTGCTCTGAAACATGCTTATCCATGCAGCAAGTGGTCTTATGACAAACCCGCCAACACCTTTACATGGTAGTATTTTGATGTATTTTGTATGTATATACTGTATATACACATCCGCTTCTTTCCTACATTCGTCTCGACCAACACTGTTTGACAAGCTTGTACCGGGAACCTGTAAATCCACATCCACACCAGTAAAGCCGTGGTCATAACATGGGTGCTCTAGTTGTCCAGGAAAATGGACATAACGGGGAGCAGGGATACAGTGTGCATAAATGATGAGCAAAATCCGCAGAAAAAGCGATCGTTTGACATCTTTATCACCTTAGCGACAAACTTGCAAACATTCTCCTGGACAAGCTGAGGCCATGGCGTGTCTCTTGGCGACAGGGAATTCCTACAAATCTACTCTGCTGTATGGTGTATTTGGGCTTCGTGCCCACCAGAAGGCCAAACTTATATCAGCCAACAGCTACAAGTAACTTTCTCTCTCTAAAAATATATACATATACATATATATAGAGACCCCCAAATAGATAGACACGTAACATCCCTGTCAAAATTGTGTTGGAAACTGTTTCTATCGATTGGGAACAACTATATATGTGTTTCTGAGATTCTGTATGAATGCTTAGCTCTTGCGAAGCAGCCCTAGTGGCCCTTATATGCGCAAGATTGTTAGTCTTGAGTCCTAAAGAGCATAGCAATTCTGCCACTTCAATTTTCCAGTTTCTGTCCTGTGATCGGCTGGTGGGTCGAGCTCTTCATCAATCTCATCGCCTGCAAACCTAAGTTTGAACAAGTTGTGCCAGCAACTTGGTTGTGGAAATCTGCCCGCATCGAAGGCGCTGAGGGGCATGATTGAGTTGTGGTGCATTCATATAGCTTTAGGTGGGCCTTCTTCGTTTGGGAACAACATTGCATATCCGGCATCGTGAGATGTGTCTGGACTGGAAGTGGTGGTGTGCTGTATGATCCGGGAGGTGCAGGGTATAAGGCATGAAGTGGTACGCTTGCAGTAAGAAATTGCCAAAACAGTGGACAGGAGTTCATGGATATGGTGATGCAAAAGGTTGCAAGTGCATCATGGGGTGGGAAGTTGGGTTGGAGAGGGCATGATCGATTGGATCATCAATCGAAGAGATCGAATGACACAGCGCAAATTGCAGGCATTGTTTAATATAAGTTTCGATCCCTTAAACATGTACAACTTCAAGAGGGTTAAAACATAGAGTACTCAGTTCATTTACGAATAGTCCGGGGTGTTGAATTGGACATGGACTAGAGTGAGTGATGGACATACTTGCTTTGACCTCCTTCAAGATGTACATTTTTCATCATTTTTCAGGGGTCGAATGGAGGAGTGTAAAATATAGATCGTACATACAATACGATACAATATGACACAATAGCATCCAGCTCAATCGATAAGATACAGGACAATCAAATATATACAACAATGCAATACAATTTAAGTGGTTGAATAAAATAAGCATTTAGGAAAAACAACTGGGAAACTGAAGGCATTGTCGAAAATATGTTGACCACAAAAATGATCTACAGTACATGTAAAAAATCAAGGCGGTCGAAAACTACAGTATTCATTCAGTTCGCTTGTTGGATTGGAACATGTGTTCTTCGTGCTCTCTCTTTCTCTCTCTCTCTCTCTGACAAAGGAACTGGTGCTGGCGGTTGTCGTCGCGAAGCGAACTGAATATCCAAATCTGTGTATCAGCACAAGCTGCCAAAGTACAGTAATGCAAACTAGACACTGGTCCAAATGCTCACTTGCATTTGCCATTCCATTGTCTTCGATCTCAGTATCTACCTGTCGTGGCAGCTTGTATAATATTTGAGGGTCTCCCGCCCGCGAAGCGGTGCCAATGACTGCATCAGCTTTGCTCGTTTCTTTGGCATGTAGACATTGGATCGAATTTGTTGTGAGCATGTGTTGTGATTCTCTCTGGATCTTCTGGTATTGTACATCGCTACCAGCACATTCGCCCACATCGCTGCCTCCGCAGCTCTGGTGCCACCGGATGGTGATTCAGGAGCATCCATCGCTCCGGGAATCTGCAATGCGCTCCACAGTTGTTGAACTGGACAAGCGATAAGCCATACAACTACAACAAACTGCTGCAGACTACTTCCTCTAGTGCTCATGATGACAAGTAGTACCAAAATGTCCCACTATATATATATACAAGTAGATGGGAAGAAGTTAGGAGGCTCTGACACGTGAACGTTGGATTGATCTTGATGTCTGCAGCCAGCTGGTGAAAGCAAACTTAATTGAAGCCCGCTTGATTTCAATATGGCTGTCCTATAGTGACGCCATGGCAGCACCGAATGACTGCAACTAGGATTTGAGTTTAGTAACTACATGCATGACAGTACAGTTCATAACACTTCTAAATTCTGTAGCATCGCAGCGCTTTCGAAGATTCTGTGTAACTGTTTGATACTGTTTGTGATGCTGCTTTGACATGCCAAAACATTCAGCCAATGCAATTGATGCCATCCCACACAGGCAAATTGAGCTTGGCACAATCTGTTCTGCATTCAAAAATCTGTGACCCAACAAAGCCAACAAGCAGCTGCAGCACAAAGTACAACAATGTGTGCCAGCAATAGGCGAAGGATCATGCAGCATTTAAGTATTGACTCATGAGGCAACCATAAATCTTGTACCAGCCCACTGAGGCAAACTCCTGCGCCTGAAAGTCGAACTGCCGAGCCAGCTCGTAGTAGTTCAGCCTCGGCTCAGATTCGCAACACATTGTTTGACTTGGCAGCGGTTTGTTTGTTGGAAAAAGCTGCTCTGACATTGGTTTTGATGGCTTTGAACTTTGAACTGTTTGGGTTTGAGCGGTTCTTGCGGCCTTGTCGTTACACCTTTTTTCTCCAGCAGCATTGCCAAAAGGGCACGACCCGCCGGCCCTGTATCCAATAAAGCACTCTGGAGGATACAAATGACTTCCTCAGAGAGAGCAGAAAGCTTCAGCATCAGTTTGGATCTGTCTTCAGTTTGGATATCGACAATGCGCTTGATTGGTCTTGACTGCCACATACACTAGAGACTTCGTGGGAGCCAAAGCACCGCGCTGTTGGTTGCCACCACAGCAGGCTGAAGCACAGCATGCAATGCATCTGAAAGGTGGGTGTGCCTCTTGAGAACATGGACCACTAGCACCTGAGCGTGAAACTAAGTGCATGCAACGTGCCGAACAGCATCAAATCTCTTGCAGCTCGCGCTAAAGCACGCACGTCTATGCCACTGTCAGCCGATGCGAGATAGAGGACGTTGCCACTCCTGAGAAGTGTGGTCTACACCCCGCACACCTTGTGCGAAATGGACTGTCTAGGGCACAGCAGCCCCAAGCTTTTGCTAAGGCTCGATTTCTCTGAGCAGCTTGAGCCTCTGATCACCAGCTCAACCACAGAGTCCTGGATGGTTTCGAGTCGCTTCGGGCACTTGCAAATGCAAATGTCTCAAAGCACCTACAAGTATGTTGTTGGATAGGCACATGCCTCATATCGTCCAACACTAAGCCACCACAAGGTATCAAACAATATACTACAGGAATTACGGTCCTTCTTGCAAGCCACATGCTGACCACGTAAAAATCAAGCGTTCAATGCACTTTGAAGTCAGTAGAGTCCTTTGGGTAGGCCACCACAGTTTTCCAGGCCGCTTGTGTCTCTGGCCACCGCACACCTGAAAACTCAAACGTAAATGTAATTGGGAAACATTGCATAATGTCAGGGCTGTAAAGTGCCGTCAAATCACAAACGGCCCACTTCACTGGCTTTTGCTTTGTGCATGGTCTTTGCTTGGCATCATCAATGGCTGCACATAAGGCCACAAGAACTTCGTGCTCCGTAGCTGCCTCTACAGCTCCAAGGATCAATGGCAGTATGCTCATAACACAAAAAAGTCAAAAAAACTGCGCAACATTGCCGTGCTAATGCCTTGCCCATAAAGCGCCCAGCAAATTTCCGCGAAACTGTAACGACCTGATCATGAAGGTCTTCCATTCTCACGTGCTCCGCACTTGGTGGGTTGCCTTAAATTCATAAGGCTCATTGAGGCTCCATCTGGCGTCGCTCCCTGTCCATCCGGGAGGAATACAAAGGCTACCAAACATCGGTAGTAAGCACCGTGCCTTGACACAAGGTCCCGACAAACCAACTATATATCTTTTGATTCAAATCATGATTAGTACACAAATTGCACAAGTGATCACACGTCAAGTAAAGTATCAGGCGAGCAGCGCGCGCCAAAGCGCTGCCAAACAGCAACGCGCAACAAGGGAGTGTGCCGGCGACCAGTCTCCAATTTTCATCTCCTTGAGTTGAAGCTGTACCTGGGAGAACGATAAGGCTTGACAAAAAACACATTAAACATTAAATAACTGTATGTATGGCCTTAGATCCAGGTGTTGTGATGTTTTCCCTTTACTTTGGAGAGATTGTCTGCTAAATGTTACCGGACTGTCTTTGTAAGGGTTTGGTCAAATGGCGTGCCTTTGGCGGCCTTTGGCCCATGCGAGATGTGCTACGTCGCTACAGGGCGAACCCATGAAGCTGGGCTGTGATCTTTGTGCTTTCCAGGTGACGTGAACCACGAAATGGATGCGGGGTCCCAAACCTGGTTCGAAGCTGTCCACCTTCTTCGGTGAAGGCCAACCATAGTCGCCATAGCTCTCCTGCTAAAGGCCGTGGAAGGCGTTTGAACTGCCTGCATGGGACAGTTGAACATGCAAGAACACCAAAATGATAGCAGTGTCTCCTGCAAAAATCCATCAGCATCAGCTGGTGGTTGCCAGTGCACAGTCCCTCTTTCAATGCAAAGAAGCCCACCCACAACTGGAAGAAGACCACCACTTGCATGCCATAGCTTGATCCGGCTCACAATTTTGGAGGTGAATTCGCTCACCCAGCCTTCAAAACTGCCAGCTAGCGTCAGCCAAGAAGTATCAACGGATGTGTTAGACTGTATTTCGTAGGTATTTCCTTTCCAAGTGTTACAGTACTAAGTGCACAATGTGAAGCCAAGCTTTGCTGCAATAATGTGTCCATCATTTCCATCAAGTCACCAAGGCTAAAGCGGAGTAGTTGCCAATTGGCCTTCTCTGCTGCCCATGAAATTGCAGCCTCTTGGTCCTCATCCACCTCACTGTCACGGTCTCTATGGAGCAATCACCCAGTCGAGGCGCTTCCGTTCCACAGCAGAATTCATGTCATGTTCGAGCTGAGGGCAAGTCTGCTCTGGGACAACCTTCGGCTCAGCATATGCGGTTCTCAACATACAAATCTATAAACTGTGCATACTTGCCGGACAGCAATTTTGGTTGAGTTCTCTTGCTTGAAGGTCAAATGAGAAGAATAATTGAAGCCAAGCATCCCAGGAAGAAGACCACGCGACGCGCTGGGCATACGCTAGCATCTGGTACCAATGTAGACCTGAAACTTCCCGCCACCGGTACAGCAGGATAGCTTTCCTGAGCTGCAATGAGTGCTCAGTGCGTCAACAATCAACAAAGAACTGGAGCGCATCTTGAACCCTGCTTGTTGCAGACTCGCATGAGAAGAATATGCATCGTCTTCGCAAAGTGTCGTCCAAGAGCACGACCGCGGAATCCTCGCTGGAACGAAACGCTTCTATCATCTATCAAATTCGCGACCACCTGCAAAACAGACTTCTTGATTTGAAGATGTTTCCAGCTTCTATCATTGTACAACTCTCCTGCACTTGCCTGTTTGCAAGGGCTGTCAAGAATCAACATGGCATCTCTGGATTGATGTGTTCAAACCATCGCTTTGTACCCCACAACGTGACAAACACATGCGCACACACATATATAAATGTACAGTATATTATGTTATACATCCATAGATATACACATAATACACACGTACAGTCACACACACATATTCCAAACGTGTACCTAAATTTCAATATTGTCTTTTCCCGGACCTGAGCGTCGCCCAACTTGTTGAGGAAAGACAGAATGGCTTCCCGCAACCCTCTAGGTCCTGCAATGCAAAGGGCTGTGCAGAATGTGCGTGCAATGAGTCCCCATCCCCATCAAAAAGATTGAGCAAGCAACTTTCTTGCCTTTTGCACACATCCAAACAACTACGTAGAACATTGAAATAGGCCTGTCCTGGGTCTTGCTGATGAAAAACCACTCCCGGCACCTCTTCTTGGTCCTTATTTCTGCTTACCACTGCTTGTTTTGACGACGCATTGATCATTGATTCGTGCGATCCTCTGCAAATAACCAATGCTGCTGAGTTAAAGAAACAGCCAATCAATACAAAACAGTGCCGGTGGTCAGCAACACGTCGCAAGCGCCGCAATATCCCGAACTCAGTGAGTTCCTGAGCTCGGAATATCAATGACACAGGCACACCACCGTATGTAGAAAACAATCGACAACAATGATTGAATGAACTTGGTGCAGTAGGAACTCAAAAGGCTGTTGCAAGAACTCCGGACCAACCACCCACCATGATAAATCTTTGAAGCGCTTGCCAGCTTCAAACAATATTGCGGCTGCGGTGCGTGGCGCCTTCAGCACACAAACAGTTGCAGTGCAACCAACGGCTTTGAGATTGAAGCCGTCAGGATTTGTATACTTTAGACACAGCTGCATGAGTGAACGCCGTCGTTTGCAACGCTGCCAGAAGTGAGCGTGCAAGGGAGTCTCGGCGGTTGCCGAACAAAGAGGCGGCAGATTTTCTTGTTTTCCTCAAGGCAAAAATAGGCACTGGTCTACGAGGTGAGGCCATCGAGCCCCCTTGACTCCTCAAATCTATACAATAATTGGCAGGAAGTCGGCTGGGCTGTTTACTTGTCAAAGTCCTTGACTCAAACAACTCAAACTCATATTTTTTGCAGCCACGCGTCGGCCAAGCGTGGCATGAGCTGCTCCCAACTGCCAGCAGGCAGAAAACAACTTCCTTAGACAAACGGTAGAAGTGCTGTAACGCCGAGGCCGCTAGACCAAACGACAGGTGGCCCGAGAGCGCGGAGAGATGTGAGAAACAAAGTCAAAGAAGCAAGGGCGTGTGCAACAAGAAGATGTGAGTACGGAGAGTGGGCATTAGAAACGAAGGCGGCAAAGTGCAAGCCACCCCAGCATAACATGTATGATGACCTCCTTTGGGCTCGGCTACGCACAATGGCTTGGGCGCAGCATTTACAAACAACGCAAAACCGAAAGAGCCCCGTGCCTTCCCAAGTCAAAGCGTGCCACGCCCGCGCCCGCACCTGCAGTCTTGATGCAGCCAGGTGACACCAAGGCCATCCTTTGCACCATTCCGATCCCTAGCGGCATGTCGCGTTTACCGTTTACCGTTTACCTTTGACATGTTTCCCGTCCCCCAACGCCATGGAGCCACACAAGCGCGATTTCCCACTCGCCATCACAAATGTAACTGTGAAGTGCAACTGTGTGACAGCAAGCCCAGTTCGGCACAAAGAGTTTCAACGACAGCTTCCCACTTTGGCCACCAAGCCAGGAACCGCCCAGGATCGAACTCGAGACCTCGGCGGTCGGGCAACCACAGCTTGCCGAAAAAAAGACTCAACGCGATCAGTTTGCAAGCTTGAAGCCTTTCGCTTTCAGCGACAGTAGTCTGACACTTTGGCAATCTCAAACCTTATGTTCGGCGACAGCTTCACAATTCGATCATAAAATTTGCAGCACTTGACACGCACCATTCTCACAAACGGTTGACTTTCGTGGCACCTTTGCCACCCCATCCCCGCCTAAGGAAGAAGTATGTGAACAATGAGAGAGGAAGATATGAGATGTGAAGATGTGAGAGATGAACAATGTGAGGTCCGAGAAGATCTACACACCTTCTCATTTAAGAACCCTTCGCTCAAACGACCTCAGGAAAAGCTATCTTTTCCATCAATCGTCTCCTTGAAGCGCAAAATTGCGAATACAAGGTGCAGCTGACAAAGGTGGTTCGGAGGAAGAATTGGAAGCCAGTCTTCGAGGAGATCTCCGCACTGGTTCCTTGCGGCATCTATATGAAACTCTATGTCTTTGTCTCTATGCCACTGTTCGGCATTGTGCCTATTAAGAGTTTCACAGTATTATAAACAAGCCAAATATGTAAAGAATTGTATAGACTTACCCCTTACTAGTACCAAGGGGCTGTCAACCGCTGAAGAGCTACTCGCTTCGATGCCTTACCGCAAGTCACTGCTGTGCACACTCCCATCACTTCAGGATGCATGATGTATCAGGATGTAAGTCGCTGACAAAGTCCAGTGGCTGCATGATGCTCAACGGGGCCATGGCCCGGCCGTGCAATTCCACCCTGCATTCACATTTCTCGACACAACTTCTGCTTGAGCTAGCCCAAATGCAGCGGCTTGCTTGGAATGTGCGAATCACATCCATTACTTTGTGCACTGGGGATTAAGTACACTGAATCTTAGTTCACCCTGAACTGAAGGCATCCCAGGTCCAGAAAAATGAACTCTGGCGATTCAAAACATTCTTTGCTAGCCCCCGGCAAGCCATTTCGACCTGTATCGCATCGTCGGATGAGATCTTCCTGCTCCCAGCCTGCCTGGATGCGACGTGTAAGCTTCAATCCGCTCTACGTAATATAGAGCAAGAACAGTCATGCAAAGGTTCCTGTGCCTGTACTCTTGACGCACGGCAGGCAATGCTTACAATGACAAAATCATGTAGGATGACAGCCTTAAAAGTGTAGTTCGGTCTGGTCCTCCCTCTATTTTCTTCAAAGCCCGAGCATTTGCACATCAAGAGCGATTCTTAAAATGCTAAAAAATTGGACAGCACTACCCTGTGCTGTATTGGAAACCGCCACACAAACAACGCCACATAAAGCAAACATGCCGCAAACAATTTGCAAAGATTGCATCATTTTCAACATTTGCTGGAATTCTGGTGCCGTTTCTGCAAGGCTGTGGATGAACGACATCCATCGTTCTGCATTGATCTTGTGCATACACGTTGAACATCGCACGCCCTCCCAACAACACTTGAACATTCACACTCCCTGTTTGAAAACTCTTGGGTGCCATACCTTCCATGCATCCAAGCTACTAAGTCAACGCCAGCAGCTGACATGAGCTGCCGGAGCCTGCATCAATGAAATGTGGCTCAAACGTAGTGCCTTCCAGCATAGCAAACTCAACACAAACACAGGTCAAAGAATGGACGATGTGTAAACCCTTCTATAATAATGTTGGATCCTGATTAGTAAAAGGGGTCCCTCCTCCTCTAAGCAAATAGGGGTCTTTTACAATATACTTGCACCAAGACAAATTGGGTTCCTGGGAGGATTCCATTTGTAACTGAGTGTAGTATTAATTTTCTTTCTCAGGTTCTTTGTAGATATTCTCAGCGATCCTTTTATACTGTTAAGAAGAGGACCAAGAAGGTTCTCAGGTTCTCTGTGGTTTTGAAGAAGAACTAGAGAAACCTATAGCCTATACCTATATCAATACTCTCAGCAAGCCAGCCATTCGCTTAGTGGTATTAAGACTTTCTTAAATCTATTTCTACTGAGGAAAAAACTTTACACAACTGAGGACCCTTAAAATAAGTTTATTGATGAGGATCAGGGGCCTTCCTAGTCTGCTACCTTGAAAATTTGTTTAGGAGCAATCTTTACATAAGGGTTGATTAAGGAATTGATGGCTTTGGGAAGCTGTCAGTTTTGAAGAAGAAGAAGTAGAGAAACCTATACCTATATATATATATATATCAATACTCTCAGCAAGCCAGCCACTGGCTTGGTAGTATTAATATAGTATATAATTCTTATTTTGCTCAGGAAACACTTTGCACAATTGAGGACCCTTAAAGCAAGTGCATTATTGAGGATCAGGGGCCTTCCTGGTCTACTACCTTGAACATTTGTTCAGGTGCAATCTTTACATTAAAGATTGATTACATAAGGAATTGATGGCTTTGGGAAGCTGTTAGTTTTGAAGAAGAACTGGAGAATTCTATACCTACATCAATACTCTCAGCAAGCCAGTCATTGGCTTAGTAGTATTCACAGGGCTCCGAAGGATTCAGACCTTACTATGTTTCAGATGATAAAAGAAGGATCCCCCAAAAATAGTACAAAAGAGAACATTAAAAACACACACACACACACATTGGTGTACATATTTTGAAACATCTATACATATATATAGCATGATAGAGGATCGCTTTACTAATCAGGCTCCAACATTACACTACTCAAACATGATGCCGCGCTGCTCTCTCTAAGACGGGCTCCCACTTCGATCAAGGAAACCGATTCGAGCAACATCCATCCTGAGCTAATGGCTCCAAAGAAGGACTGTGCGGTAAACATCCATGCAGTACATGGCAGCCGCCTCTCCACCATTTAGCTTGGGGACTATTACACTCCTGAGTTCAACACATCTGGCATGCTTGCAGCAAGCTGACCTTACTATGGTCAGCCAAGCAACCAAGCAAAAACATTTTGACGGAATGTGCACGCAACCTAACTATATTGTGAGCAAGATCGCAATTCTTTTGCTCTGCGCCATGCATCTCGAGCGGCCGCAATTTTCAACGGCCATATTTGGAAGTCATGCCAGGGTTCTACCTGTCTCTGGAAGCAAGCCTAAAACACGAGCAAATGCTACCGCGAAGTTCTTGTAGTCGGTAGGCCTGTCCAATAGACTGATCTGTTGATCTAACTCCTCCACGGGAGACCCTTGCACCCATCCGGTTTGGCAACTTATGGACTTGCGATCCTTCTCCAACAATGCCCTCAATGCTCTCAAACCCGTCTTGGTTGAAAACTCTGGATGTGCTTGAGTAGTCAAGCACTTTTTGAGCGTCATCCCCCAATGTCCACTGTGACAGTATCCCCAAGATATAGCTTGCTTGGGAAGTAGCACAACTGCATCTCCATGATGGCTGAAAATACTAGTGCATTCCTCGGGAAGGTCCAAACGCAATCTGGAGTCTTCAGTTGTGGGATAGCTTTGGAGGCCTCTCTGCGTCCCTGCTGGATTCACTATCACAGTGCCACCCAGAGCAAGCGCGATGGCTTGATGTCCAAAGCAAATGCCAACCAAAGGACGCTCTTCACGGACCAATAGTTGCAAAAAGCCTAGTAGGCGGGGAAGCCATGAGTCATGCTTGGAGCTTGCCGCACACGAGGAAAGGCTTCCCATGATGATGAACCCATCGAACTGATCATGTACAGGAAAGGCATCTGTTTTCACGTTGCATGTATGAAGGTCAAAGTTGCCTGCGCCAACATCTCCGAACATCTCCATCATCATGCCTGGAACATTTGCACCATACAACTCGTCATAAGCCACATTCAAGTAGCAAATCGACCGCTTTGGCGGCGAAGACACAGTTGCCAAACTTTGTTTGTCTTGCACCTGCTTAAGCAGCTCCAGTCGAAGTTCAGCAGTTGAAACAACTCTAGCAAAACCTCTCATGTTGAACAAGCCTGAAGAGTGCTCTGCTGCAGATTTTGCTGCACAGGCATCTTCTGGAACTGTAACCAAGAAGCCAAGGTCTGCGGCATCTCTCACTGCAGATTCGACACATTGATTGGTAAGTTGTCCACACACAATGAGATATCGAGTTCCTAAATTCCGCAAAACATAGTTGATATTTGTCGAGCAAAACACAGAGCAAGAGGTCTTTGGCAGAATGATGTCGTCGCTGTCTGGTCTGATGTCCGGCAAAACTGCTGCATCAGGATGGCCTTTAGGTACAAAGAGAGGACCACTCAGCTTGTAATCAAGAGATAGATCCCGACCATCCAATGTCAGGGCCTCAATAACGGTATAAATTATTTCCACATCTGCTCGTCGGGCTGCTGCCAATAGCTGGGAAATGTTTGGCACCATCTCGTGATCAACCCTATCAAAGAAATATGGCAACGCCGATCTGGGAGTTTCACGGAAAACACCTCGTTCAGGTCGACTACAATACTCCTGCACATCAATGACCAGCAAGGCAGTTTCACTTGCATTGCAAGAAACGTTCCTTGTGCATCCTGGCTTTATCCTTTTCGGGTGCCTATCCAAACAGGCCATTTTGCCTTGATGGCACAGGAAATAGGAAGACACAGCAACACAGGACAGTTGGGACCGGCGACGTGCTGATTCACGACTTGTGGATGTTACATGTGCAGAAATGGATGTTACCATGGTACAATTACTATACCTTTTTGGATGCTTTTTGAGACAAACCATTTTGAGATTCAACGCTTCCAGCACGTGTATATCACATATACCTTGTTCTGCAGCATCATTCATCATTTTTCTTTTGTGCAACCGATCCAAGCAGCTTGTATTGAAACCCATCACAGTGTCGTGAAATGAACAGCAAATCATCTACCTGCGAGCTTGGATATGGATGGGCACTTTCAACTCGGTTCGTTGCTCCGCGATTTCGGAAGCTGCGCTCCATTTGTGCAACGCGAGCCTTGCAACTTTCAAGCCATTCTGTCTACGAAGCGAACCAAGACCCTTCAAGTCACTCTACCAGGTCCTGCTTGTGAAACTATATATATATATACACACTGTACAAAGGAACATAATTATAGTCTAAATACTTTATATTGATAGTAAAGTAACAATTATTAAACGATACTATACACTAAATGTTGGACAAGTGCAGTGCAGCTTCAAAATGCTCCAAAGGCCGTACACGGGGTGTAAACACCATGAAGGAAGGGTCGTGCTTTCAGCTATGAGCATTTGCCTGCCCCGCCTCCAGAATCATATCCCTCTCAGGGACACTACTCGGCTGCGGCTTTTGGGAAGTTGTCATGCCCTGCAGCTGCTGTACTACAAAAAAGCACTTGCCGGCAACACTGCCAAGTCTGACAATCTGCAGCTTCAACAGAAACATGTTCATAGACATAGTATTGTAGAAACACTCAGTTCAAAATTTGAACATCAGGGACTCATGATGCAGGCATTTCAATCCGAGCTGTTTGTCACGGCCTCAAGCTGAGCTTGACGCAGCAATGCGACAAACTCATTCAAGTCCACACGGCCGTTGCCTAGTTAGCTAGCTAGCTACCCAGTGCAGCAAAGTATGATGGGACAGCGCTGAATATGCAGCAGCAAAGTAGCATGGATGGTGTAATGAAGTGATATTTTTTTGGGGGAAATGGTCTCTAAAGGGGTGTAACATTTTGAGAATGCATATTCCTCAGCCAAACATGCGGGTGTCTTGTGAAGTCATGGCTTGGCCAACTTTGGGGCCCCATCCATCTGCATCTGCCAAACGCCACAAAGCTCCCACATCTTCTCTGGTCACCTGACCATCCTGGCAATGAAGCAACAGCAACATAAGCTGTTAAGCACTTTGTTTCTGGAGGTTTTGTTGTGGAGCTTACCAGCAGCAAAAAGCCAGGAACCTAGCAACCAAACATGATCTTTGTCGAGGCATCTCCCCCTTTTCAAGAGGTCTCTCTTTCAACTCAACTCCATGCATGCAAATAGCCTGAGCATGCCTGAGCCATGACCATCCGCTCGAACTCAGCATAAGAGAGCATGCCAGAGCCTGTGAGATTGAACCTGGCGACATTCTGAGAACGATGAATGAAGGCTTTTGGCAGGCCATTGCTCTGTACAGTAGCATGGTTTATATACTAGTATATATAGGTTATTTTAGATTATTAGTATAAATTATAGTATTATAATGTATTATAGTTATATCATTGACATATCGCCCCTCTACAAATGGACAAGTCACTTTGACTGGCCTCACCTGTGCCCGTGGTCTGTTTGGCCACGAACACACGAGAATTGCTGCCAACTAGTGGTGTAGGTATGTTCGGTGGTGCCACTTGACCACATTCACATTGACTACATGGCGTTTCCGCCAGCCTCTGAAAAAAGTTTGCTGGGCTGCCCATCGCAGGAGCCAATCGTCGGGCCTGGATTATTAACGGTGCAACATAAGGTCGATTTTGGAATATTTTGTAAACAAAGTGCGACAAGCCTGAGTATATACAGGGCCAGCCATTTGTTAACAAACCCTTGTCCGAGCATCGTACAACATGAGTGAAGCTGGTAGTGAACAACGACATGACATGTAAAAAACACATCTTCTCGGCGAGCAAAAAACACTAGCCACATTGCAGAAGCTGGTTAAATGTTGACAAGTTTCAGCGCAAGAGGTCCAAGCAGCAAACCAGCAAACCGTTCTAATATATATATATATACAATACAAGTGCTCTTATAAACACACTCTAAGATCAAATGCATTTATATCATTCACCGTTGCTCAGTGCACTGCCATGCGTCGCAAGCAAGACTCCCCCCAGGGATCCACGTTTGACCTTATCGCAAATTGGATGTCACTCAACACCCAAAAGAAACGCATTCATGTTAAGATCCCGACGTCCCCTGGAAAAGTAAGAGTTGCTGAATGCTGAGTTCTGAAGAGGATGCCACCAGCCTGTCTTTAAAACCAAATGTTTCCATGCCTGGCCTTCCATGTGCGTACAGCTGGCGCACACTTCAGCGGATAGGCTAGTTTATCAGGTCCCAGTCATGTCTTGCAGCAAGAATCCAGGATACATCTTGGCTTTACTTGCATGTGGCGCCCCCCCAAAAAAGCAAGAAAACAAAACGAAAAGAAGGGAAGGTAAGGCCCCTTCAAAGGGGAACTTTTCCTTTTGCAGCATTTTTAATTCTTCTTGCATCTTTGCACTTAAAGCTTCCAGCCATTTAAAGTCATTCCCTCACGTCTCGATTTTGAAGTCGACTTCACCAAACCCGCCACTGTGACCCCCAAAGACGGTCCAAGTCTGCGATGCCCAGGCGTGGCTCCAAGGCTAAAGCCTTGAGTTACAACAGAATCAACCAACACATTGCTTTTCTCTCTTTTGTTTAGCCTGCGGGGTAGGACGTCGTAAGAGACAAACTAACAAGTAGTCTCTGCATTCAGAAAAGCTCAAGCTTCTTCAAGGAAGCTCCCCCCAACCGAGGGCGGGGGAGCTTCCTTGAAGCAGGCTCGCACTATTCATGTGGTTCCCAGATTGTTAGGGAAACTTAGAAGAAGAAGTGCCGAAAACATACTTTGACCTTGTCTAGATCTTAAGTCTTAAGACCTTTCTGGATGGGCATTGGACACCAAGCTAGACTAGCTGGTTTCTTCAAAGAAGCCCCCTCGGCTTGGCACGATCAAAAAGATTCTAGACTCTAGACCGGTTCTGATTCTGCTTAGCTGCAGTCTTCCCACCCCTCAGGAGTTGTTACTCTGTTACTAATTGTTGGCCGCTGACCCAGCTTGCCCAGGAAATTGCACAGTCATGTGTGGTCAAGTAATTAGTTGATCCTTTTCCGGTGAGTGTGTAGAAGCCACTGAAAACAATCGTGATCAAACACGTGAGCGACCTTGGCTAGCATCAGGGTCGGGACATGTTAGAGATGGTCATCATCACCCCTCGGTCCACTAGTTGTGCCCTGACAAAGGCACTCACCCTACTTTTGTAGTGCAACATGCTGACTCGCTACCTGCCAAAACTCTCGAGCTTTTTGAAGATACGGCGCTTCAGTCTACGGTCTGGAGTGCGAGCCGTGCTCGGCCCCGTCCGAGGCTAGTATTTTCGCTTGTCATCCTAATTCTGTCGGCTGAAAGCTGACCAAAGACAGTCGAAGCGAGCCATTGTGACAGTAGACTGTACCTTTGTGGCTCTTGGAGCCCTGGGCATTGACTGCACAGGTGCCCAGCCGAGATGAATTTGAAGGAACAATGACGAAAACCAAACTTTGACCCCTTCATGCCGGGGACTTCCAGCCAAGCCCAGGCCGCCCAGTTTGGGTTTGGTGGCCTTGGTCTCGGCATAATTCAGGGTCCCTGCCATGACTGACATGACATGCACCCATTTAAAATTTGCCTACATGAGTTTCAGCTTCGCTGAACACATGAATCCTATATTCATTTCTATACTATACAGTAGTCCCTGTATGCTAGCTTGGCCGGTGAGGACACCCTAAAGGCTGCTTGCATTAGGTGAAAGCTAGCCGTGCCCCAAAATGCAACAATCCTACGTACGTAATCTTGTATGCAGGTCACTTGTGCATACTAGCGACTGCCTACGGTGTCCATCCGGCTCAGGCAATTGCATGCATGTTTGTTGCTCGACCCGTGCTCCCAGGCCGGGTCGTCAATCATTGCAGCATGATAGCACAAAATTCTAGCTGAACGCAAGCATGAGACGTATTCCTTGCTGCGACTTGGGACTCCCCAGCCCGACCTAAGCAAATGGAACTCGCACTTGATGTTTTGAGTCACTTTTCTGGCGGGTCTGTGCCGCCTTCTGTGCACCTCCAAGCACGCATGGTGGAGCCGAGCCACACAGCAAATTTCACATTCTTGGCGGCATTTGCAACCAAGTGAAGATTACATGCACAGGCCTTCAAACACGTACGACCTGGAGCTATTGCCATCCAAACCATCGTCTTCAGCCACCTGTTGAACAAAAGAAATGGTGGGTGGGTCAGTCCGGGTAACCGTAACCGCACGAGGTTCTTGTTCAGAATCAATTTCAGAAGCCGTCGGCATGCCGGGAAGAACCTCACTCACGGATGTGAATTCATTCTTCGTCCCTCATTCTCACCTGACGATGCTGCCGTTGCCTCTTGATGTCTCCCAAACTATCCCAAACTTGGCATCAGCCAACACATTTCCACCGGTTCCACACTGCACCCTGCCGCACCATATCCGCATTTATCCGCTTCAGGATCAGCGACTAGGCCCTCAGAAAGCAGTACGACTATGCCGCAATGCCCCTGAAGCCAGCCATTATGCAAGGTGGCAAGGTGATGAGTGTAGACTTTATGATTCGACAATAAGCTCTTGAAAGCGCGCAACCAATTATATACAGTACAAAGTATAGAGCGAAACCATCTGGAATTGCACATGGTTGTCTAAACAGTAATTTATCTGGATTTATTGTAGGCCTGCTTTTGCCAATTCAAACTGCTTCGAGAAAGAGTGAGACTGAATAACTGCTCAGCTAAGCATCTCTGGCACTGGCGTTCCGTTCGAAATAAGCGTTCCAAATTCTCTGGATAACTCTGCAGCAATTCGCAGCTCAAACTCCTGCCAACGGCAAAGAAACTCAAACAATTTGTTTTTATCCTACCTTCACAAATGCGTCCTTTTATCAAATTCTACCGTAGGACTCCGAAGTGCATATTCTCTGCAGTGCCTGGCCTGGTGAATCTCCAGCTCCTTGAAGGGTTCTGGTTCCTGGCATGGAAGAGGCACATTCCGGAAATAGCAGGGCCATCGGACTGGCGTGGGAAAAACATGATAAGGATGTGCCACATCCGAGAATGAATGTGAAGTGCAGTTCAAAGACCAATATAGTCATGCAAATCTTTAATAGTGCCGTTTAGTTCGAACAGTTCTGAGGCGGGCCTATTGGTTGAATCTTTGATCAAAACAAACAACATCACTCCTCGCTCCATAGCAGGATAAACGCCTCCATGCTGTGAACAATGAATCCTTAGAAAAATATCGAGAACACAAAGCAAGCTTTGCCGCAACATGCGCAGCTTGTCTATATACATCCATGTCCTTCTCTCCACGCTGAGTTACAAGGCCGCATTCAGTCTGGGACTCGACATGACTTGACTACGCGGCGACCTGTTTCATGATGACAATCACAAAATTTACAGTAATCCACTCTTCTGGTTGCCGCTTATCGTCCGCAGAAACATCCCATCCTGATCGGACTTTATATATCACTGCGAGACACTCTAGGCAAAGGCTTCAGTGGTGCCCGAGTTCAGGAAACAAACATCTTGATTTAATCGGTTGGGCAACCTGAAAGGGCTTGAACGGAGCAGTGTCAATGTTGAACGCCGCCCAAACGCCTCAAAACCTGACAGTATCTTGGTTTTTTATGATCTGGCCAGCGTTCTGGCTGCTGGTTTGCTGCAAAGATTCCCATCGCAGCTCTGCCACAAACGAATCCGAACAGCAGTCCGATGAAACCACTGCAATACATTGGGCCTCGACACTCGGCCCTCCAGAGGAACTCCAACTAATTCACACTCATTCAACATCATCCTGCTTGGAGGTCACACTAATTGGACATCTTTCGTTACATAAGAACCCCCAAACAGATTTCATCAGATTTCGATCCATTTAAAAAATTCAATCATGTTCAATGCTTCCTTGAAAAACATAAACCCTTCCGCGTCCCTATGTTTAAAAAACAACTAATGGAGAACTACACTTAGAACCATTTCCCACTTTAGTAAACAATTGTGTCCGAAACATTTCCAAAATTCAAATAAAAATCACATAGTTATTGTCAAACTTATACAAATGACAAGGTTCGTGATTCGTAACAAGAGCTCGCCCGTTGCGCCAACCCAGCCTTTCTCACTTTGCCGGAGGATGCTAGCCGCCACGCAAGTGACGGAGCAAAGCATTCCACAAAGCAAAGACCCAAAACATCTGATTGACTTCATCAGCAAGTCCTGCTCGAAAGTCAAGTGCACCGTTTTCTATTCGATGAATATTCCGCCTCTGATTGATTCTGCATTTTATCTACGTGTTTTATTTCTATTTATGTATGTGGGATCTGGTCGAAATGTTTTCTTCCAAAAATGGCTGAAAGTCGTGTTCACATGGGGGCCCGCTACATATTCTTTACTTTGGGCACACACATCTGGCTCATGAAGGAATCATGGACCAAACAGGTATTGGCGCCAAACTGTAAGAGGCGTCACGGGCGCTGCACAGTTTTCAGTTGATCTCCGAGCTTCAAGCCATGCTTGAAACAAAATACATGTTGCAACTCAGCCTTGGAAGGGTCGCTGGAATCTGGCAATGTTTGCTAGCGCGGATCTAGTGCATTTTTCAGCCAGCCACTTTTCGAACACCTGACGACGTTCTGAACATGTCCTCAGGCAAATACTAGCGTCACCAGCGCAAGTCTACTGCAAACCTAGCGGCCAGCTGCAGAATAGGTGTGTTTAGCTGGGGGCCAGCTACATAATCGAATTGAAAAACAACATCATAAGCTACTTTCGTTCCCTTTATCTTTTTTCATTATAGACTTTTGGCCGGACTCCATATACAGTTTTGCTTTTACTTTTGTATTCTTTTTTCCTTTTTTATGCCTGCACAGTTGGAATGTACGATATGTGATTAACGTCTCCTGATGTCTCGTGCAATAATGCTGTCTATTGTTTTCATTGTTAATTAGATTCTTTTTGTCTTCCTAAGTGTTACAATAATGCATATAATCCCCTTCTATAGTGTAAACTCCTACAATAATGCAACCCGCTACAATAATGTCTATTATTTGTTTTTCAATACTATTGTTTTTCCCGTCGTCATTGACTTTAAAGCCCTTTTGATTTCTACCGACTTCCTGTTGGAATTCTTTTGATCTCTATTGACCACCTTTGCACATGTTTCATTAATTTCCTTAACACACTCTATTAAATTGCGCGACAATATTACAAAAAAACTACTCCACAAAGAGGGAGAAGGAGAAAAAGGAAAAGGATAAAGCAACTAGCACAGGAGGCAAGGAACAGAAGAGTAGAAGGAGAAGGAGAAGGAGAAAAAGGAGGAAAAGAGGGAGGAAGAGAAGGAGAAGGAAAAAGAGAAGGAGAAGGCTTTTCCCGCTGCGTTCTTGCAGATCACAATACAGTATACACCAGCCATGTGAGAGTGGTAGCGCTTACCGGTAAGTCTGAAATCTATAAATGTATGTCCACGCACGCACATCCTTCACGGAACGCCTTCAGCTCCTCCTTCTCCGCCCTCAGCCGCTCTTGAGGGCCTCCTGCTTCTCCTTATTGCTCCTCCTCTTCCTGCCTGGACTGTCGCCGATCTCCGCTTCGCGCTTGGCCTCCATGCCTGCATGGCAGATGTGCCAGGACCTCTGCCTCCGAAGCCACCTTGGGCGCACCTCGACTTCCGGCTGCAATGCAAGCTGCAGGGTGGTGGGCCTTCTCGCGCACCAACTCTCTGAAGACACAGGACCACGGATTCAACGGATCCCAACTGCCTCCTTCGATGTCCAGGTGTCGCCTGATCTTCTCCAGTCGTTCTGCACGCGCTGTATCTTCTGCCGTGTAAATCAAGGACCAGCATTGCGGGTATTGGGAAACTCTTGTGGGACACTCTTGTAGGACACTCTTGTAGGGCACTCTTGTGGGACACTCTTGTGGGACACTCTTGTAAGACACTCTTGTGGGACACTCTTATAGGACACTCTTGTGGGACACTCTTATGGGACACTCTTGTAGGCTACTCTTGTGGGGCACTCTTATAGGACACTCTTGTGGGTCACTCTTATGGGACACTCTTGTCGGACATTCTTGTGGGACACTCTTGTGAGACACTCTTGTAGGACACTCTTGTGGGTCACTCTTACAGACACTCTTGTGGAACACTCTTGTGTGACACTCTTGTAGGAAACTCTTGTGTGTCACTCTTGTAACATTGTAGGACACTCTTGTGGAACACTCTTACAGGACACTCTTGTGGGACACTCTTGTAGGACACTCATGTGGGACACTCTTGTGGGACACACTTGTGGGACACTCTTGTAGGAAACTCTTGTGGGATACGCTTGTAGGACACTGTTAAGGGACACTCTTGTGAGACACTCTTGTGGGACACTTGTGGGACACTCTTGTGGGACACTCTTGTGGGTCACTCTTGTAGGACACTCTTGCGGGACGCTCTTGTAGGACACTCTTGTGGGACACTCTTGTAGGAAACTCTTGTGGGGCACTCATACGGGACACTCTTGTGGGACACTCTTGTAGGACGCTCTTGTGGGACAGTCTTGTAGGGCACTCTTGTGGGACACTCCTGTGGGACACTCATACGGGACACTTTTGTGGGACACTCTATCTGGGACACTCTTGTAGGACACTCTTGTGGGTCACTCTTGTAGGAAGCTCGCAAATCCCGAAGGCACTGCAACATCACGAACGTCGTGTCGCCACACGGTCTGCCCACACACTTAAAGCAAACATATCGCATGATACCACAAATCATCCCGCTCACCAGCGGCACGACGCCACGCAAACCTTTCCATCAAGGCCGCGCAAATCCCAATGGCACTGCGACATCACGAACGTCGCGTCGCCACACGGTCTGCCCAGACACTAGAAGCAAAAATGTCACATGTTATACCACAAATCATCCCGCTCGCCAGCGACACGCCGCGTTTACGCCAGCCTGTTTCGCGCTCCCCAGTGGCACGGCGCCACGCAAACGCACTCTCCACCAAGGCCGCGCAAATCCCAGTGGCACTGCGCCATCGGGAACGTCGCGTCGCCACACGGTCTGCCCACACATTTGAAGCAAACACATCACACGATACCACAAAGCATCCCGCTCACCAGCGGCACGCCGCGTTTACGCCACCCTGTTTCGCGCTCCCCAGTGGCACGGCGCCACGCAAACACACATTCCACCAAGGCTGCGCAAATCCCAATGGCACTGTCACATCACGAACGTCGTGTCGCCACACGGTCTGCCCACACAATAGAAGCAGTCATGCGAGCGTTTCGTACGAGACTTCCTCCAAAAGTCACGCTTCGAGGCTGCAAGACGAGCGTTTCGTACGTGCTTCGTACGAGACTTCCTCCGAAAGTCACGTGTCAAGTCTCCAAAACGAGCGTTTCGTACGAGACTTCCTCAAAAACTCACATGTCAAAGTCTACACCTCAAAGCCCGGACAAAGTACTGCGCCTGCCACGAAAAGTGACGATATCGTCTCATGTGAGCTTCAACAAAATTTGCACCGCACCACACGTTTGGAATGATTTCGAACCGTTCTGAGCACACTCCCATCCACCAAAATCGCCATTTCAGCTGAGACTTGTCACGAAAGCAGAGCTTCGATGCTACACCCTGAAACGCAAATCTCAATGGCACGGCCACATCCAACACCCCAAAACCACGACTCTCCAAACGCTAATCCCAATGGAACTGTGCAGCAAACTGCGGATCTCACAAAACGCTGCACCTGCGCAGTGAAATCATCCTCCACACTTCAACATCTTACATTTCCACACGATATTTCACACGAATCTGACATGTCACGTTTCCATCCGAAACCCTCTCCAAAAGCTTCCCCCAATGGCAGCGCCTTAGCGCTCTACTGCGGACGGTTGCGAACTTAGAAACAACGGGTCGCGAACAAGGCTCTATTTCAGACTAGAGTTAAACGAGAACCCACTCGCCAAAAACCCATCCATGGAGGCATTCAGTTTGGAGACAAGCAGCCAGAAAGAACAAAGGTAAAGCAAAATAGGAGAAGAGCACTAAACAAGGAGATGATGGCAGGAAAACTCAGTCTAACCAAGGGTGGCACGCAAAGAACACGCAGTGGAAGCCTCATGAGGGGTACCGTCGTGAGCTTCTCAAACCGTTGCTTAACACATAGCCAGTTTAATGGGAACACGGCAAATTTTCAGGCACGCTACAAATCTTCTGACAGAAAAGAAATCGAAGCAAGCCGGAAGGACACGGAAAAGGAAAAACAAAGGCAATGGAAGAAACGGGTTCGTAGAAGGCTCGGGGATGACGGAAAGCGCTGTAGCGCTTGGAAGTATATTGTATACCGAAAAGGAGGGGGGGATGGGGGGAGCCAGCTGATGACGGAAAGGCGATGAACATAGGTTTTGCCGGGCGGGTTAGGGGGGGTGAAAATCTCGAGATCGTGATTTGCAGACTTTTTGGTGGCTTGAGGCAGTATGTTGAAGTTAACAAAACACTGTAAAATACTACGTCAGCACTTTTCACAAGAGCATCGGATACATAAATGATAGGGGCAGTCCACAGCACCACTTGCATCACTAAGAGGTGCATGGGAGGCACAAAGAGCACAGAAGAGACGGAAACAAAGCAAGTCAACTTAAGATGATAATTTCTTGACACCAAGGCCCACAAGAAGACACAAAGAGCACAGAAGAGACGGAAACAAAGCAAATCAACTTAAGATGATAATTTTTTGACACCAAGGCCCACAAGAAGACACAAAGAGCACAGAATGGACACAAGCAAGGCGACCCTTTTGAACAGAATGGAAAGCACCTCGGAAAATTAACACGGCAACCCCAAAAGTATGAAACCACGCTTTTGGGCAGACAACGCACTGGATCAGGGCTAACCTACTTGAGAAGAGGCGGAAACAAGGCAAGCCAACTTAAAAGGCATGGAAAGCATAGAGGAAAACCAACCAGGAAACCAAACATTACGAAGCCAACAACACGAAAATCACATTGGGGCCTAGAGCCAGTTTTTGTCGCAACCAGGGTTAACAAAGACAAAGAACCAAGGGTAACCCATTTAAAACGGATCAAAAGCACCTAGGGCACAAAGAGCACAGAAGAGACGGGCACAAAGCAAATCAAATTAAGATGATAATTTTTGACACCAAGGCCCACAAGAAGATACAAAGAGCACAGAATGGACACAACCAAGGCAAACCCTTTTGAAAAGAATGGAAAGCACCTGGGAAAATTGACACGGCAACCCCAAAATTATGAAACCACGCTTTTGGGCAAACAACGCACTGGATCAAGGCTAACCTGCTTGAGAAGAGGCGAAAACAAGGCAAGCCAACTTAAAAGGTATGGACAGCACATAGGAAAACCAACCAGGAAACCCAAAAATACGAAGCCAACAACACGAAAATCACATTGGGGCCTACAGCCAGTTTGTTTGCAACAAGGCTCACCAAGACAAAGAACCAAGCGTAACCCATTTAAACAAGATGGAAAGCACCTAAGGCACAAAGAGCACAGAAGAGACGGAAACAAAGCAAATCAGCTTAAGATGAGAATTTTTTGACACCAAGGCCCACAAGACGACACACAGAGCATAGAATGGACACAAGCAAGGCAAACCCTATTTGAAAAGCACCTGGGAAAATTGACACGGCAACCCCAAAAGTATGAAACCACGCTTTTGGGCAGACAACGCACTGGATCAAGGCTAACCTGCTTGAGAAGAGGCGACAACAAGGCAAGCCAACTTAAAAGGCCTGGAAAGCGCATAGGAAAACCAACCAGGAAAACCAAAAAAACGAACCAACAACACGAAAATCACATTGGGGCCTAGAGCCAGTTTTTGTCGCAACCAGGGTTAACAAAGACAAAGAACCAAGCGCAACCCATTCAAAACGGATCAAAAGCACCTAGGGCACAAA